CTTAAATAATATTTTAAGAAAAAGACAGCAATCTATTCTTCCCCAGCAAAAGTTACTAGTATTACTAAATGTTTTGTTTAATGTTTCATCACTCAATTACTTTGGAGATCTCCAAAATCTAACTATTCACTTGTCGTCCAGTGATTCCCCAAACTGCAGCGATACCTCTGTGCTTCTCTCCATTGGTTTTGTTTAAAATATATTTCGGTCTAAAAAATACTTTATTTTTTAAATGTTTGCAAACTGAACAAGAGCATAGTTAATTCAAGGCAGTTTTGGCAGTACAGGTTGAGTATTCTATTATCTGAAACGCTGAGACCAAAATTGTTTTGAGTTTTGGAGTTTTGAATACGTATGTGTGCAATAGAGATATCTAGGAAATATGTTTCAACCAGGAAATTCATTTATGTTTCATACACACTTTGCCTAAAAATAATTTTATAAAAAAAATTTTATATAATTTTGTGCAAGAAACAAAGTTTATACACATCAAACCATCAGAAAGCAAAGATGTCACTGTCTCAGCCACATGTGTGGACAATTCTGAATTTTGGATAAGAGATGCTCAACTTTACCTGCCAAATCCTCCAACTGTTAAGTCTTTAAAGCCTTCTTAGAAGGCAGTCATTAAATCATATGTGAAATGGATTGTCAGTTACTGTTTAACATAAAATTATTTCACCCATTCCCAATGAAATAAAAGCTAATAAGATAAATGCGTTCTGGGAACTACTATAAAGTGCCACAAACAACTCTGCATAAAACCTAGCCTAGTTCCTTTGGCGCATCCTTTGTAAACCTACCTTCCCACTCCATCCCCTTCAAGTTCAGGAACTTGCAATCTGCAAAAGCCCTAAAATTAAGTGCATTTAATATTTCAGTCTAACGTTTCAACATCAAATACTTATGGACATTTAATGGCATTCTAACATCTCATTAATTCACTATGTTGAGAAAGTAATCATTTTATTTCCTACATGAAATTTTGCCTTTCTTTCACTGTTTTTTAAAAGAGAGATTTAAATACAAAAAGATACAGGGGCAGTTCATCTGATAGTAAATGACAATACAGCTTTCTTGTTTCCCAGGAAAGACTGGACACCTTCTGATTTTGCTTTTCAACAGAAATGGGAAGTGATGGGTGATCTTATTAGTAACAAGTACTTTCATCCAAAAGAAGGGAAAGTCAAACTTTTCACAATGCCCACATAAACATACCAGCTTTTTCTGTCGTAGGATATCTGAAGCGCATTCATTCCAAAAGTTCATTCACCAAAGCTGACCATTACTCAGTGGCATCAATGTATTTTAAGGAAATCAATTCCTTATTATCTGTGTATCCTGTCCCATCTTAAAGAGGGAAGAAAGAAGGGAGAAGCAATTCCTTCACCTGTCCCTCTGAGCAATAACAAATTAGGCTATGTTAAGATTCCAAGAGTTACTTTGGCAAATCAATATTTGTATTAACATAAACATGGGCTTACCATCTCTCCTATATTTCCCCTGTAGTTATATCAATCATTTTTTTTTTAAAAAAAGTTTTCAATACGTATTTAAACAACCATCTTCTCTTTTCATTTGTTTTCCTTTCAACCACAAAGTATTCCGGGCACAACACAGCAGGTCTTCATCCCTAGTTATTTTCTTTTTGGTGTTGGTGTTGTTGTTACAGAATAAACAGCAGGAACTTCCCATAATGAAAAATACATTACTTTTAATATCTGAAATGATTATTTCAAGTCAATGCTGAATTTCTATTTGTCAAGAGGAACTTAATGCAATATATAAAGATTCAATAAACGGGTTGTATAGTACGTTGGGTCAAAACGGGGCCACCGTGGCATTACAAAACAGAAAACTAGCAGGCAGTGGTATTCTAATCCTAAAATGCAAAACTCAAAAGTGACATCCAGATAGGATGTCAAGGACTTTTTACTGCCATTACTGCCATGCAACTAGTACTTAACTTTCAGAATATGATATTAAAACTAATACTAAGTTAGGAAATGATTTTATTTGATACCTCAACACAACAATTAACAACACAGAGAAGTTTTCAACTGGAGCTGAGAGGTATTAATTTAACTCTGTTCTTTCCATGGAAAGCAGAATAAAAGTTTTTGTTAGGCAATCTCCAGCTTTTCTCGCACCCCAAGATACAACATATTTCTGAATGTCACATCCTAGATTTGGCACAATGTAGACCCATCACAGAAGCGCAACCAAACAAAACATCTCCCGTCTCCATTCAACCACTTTGAATTATTTTTCCACCTCCAATACATATGTAAATCCCATTGTTTCCAATGGCACTTTTGTGCACATGCTGAAAAGAGAATAGACTGTTTATGATTACTCATTTTAAGCAACATTCTCCCCAGAAGAATAGGGACACTGATAAATATGCAGCTGAAACGTCTCAACTATTAAGGACAATTCTTCCTCTGGCTCACCCCCCTCAGTTCTTCATATCCACAGAGCTAAGCATGTGGTGGTGGAACAGACAGATTTTTTATGACCTGGTTACTACCCGGTGAGAACTCTGAACTCCTGGGAGAAGGCTGTCAATTACTATTGTGATACCTTAAAGGGGGGGGGGGGGAATCAAAATGTCATGGACAGTTCCTGGCGGCTGAGCATCATGAAATAAATATGTAAACAAAAGGAAGGCTGCCAATTTGGCAGCGCTGTAACTTTATAAAGAACCAAAACAACACAAATGGACAAAATTCAAGCACTGGATCAAAGACAGCTCTAATTTGAAAAGCAGCATTGCAAACGAAAGGTCATCCCTGGTGGAATTAGAGCTGGGTTTGACTAGAATGAACCTCAACAGCCTCCAAAAGCAAAGAAAAACAGACAGACAGAAACAGAGAAAATGATTATGAAGTTGTGATTGTCAAGCTCTGGCTCGAAAAACTTTCCTCTTCTCTTCACATACTCCCCCCCCCTTTATACTGTCTCTCTCAAATATTCTAGAATAAAAAGAAGTTTATTTAAATATAGTTCTAACACCAGAGTTGCAACTGTACTGAACTTAAATATTTCCCAATCATATTTTATTTTAAATAAGCATAGTTCAGCAATAGTAGGATTCGAGTTCAACTTTCACACTGAGTTGAATCACAGAACACTACAATCCTAAAAATCTCTACTTGGAGGTAAAGTTTCATTGCTTTTGTGTAGCTTCCTTGTGAGTATATTATTGCAGCCCACATTCTTACATTATCAGAGCGTATTCGTGCAAATGGACAGACAGAGAAGGACAGAAAACTATTAAAAAGTACTGCATTTCCAAATTCTTTCATCACTTCTAGAATAAATGCAGAACATGTGAAGATATTAAATGATTTTAAAAATAGTAGTACAAGTATAGATCAGTGCATCTATCTAGTAATAATAGTAAAAAGTTTCAACCTGCAATTAATATCAACAGATTCAAACACATTCTAAATTCATTTAAAAATCTTGCATCAGCTTAACTGTTAGGATTTCTAACAATCATCTGGTTTAGAAAAAGGAATAAAAACATAAACACATTCATAGCTTTTTACTAGTAGTTACCTTAACATAATGATTCATTATTGCAATGTAAGGTGCATCAGCTCAATAAGGAGTGCTCTTCAATTTAAAGTTTACTGCCTCTAATACACACAGAGAATTGAGAACTTGGCTTCTTCTTACTAAAACTGCTTATAAAAAGCATGGATAAGAAAGAAGAAGAAGGAGAAGGAGAAGGAGAGCAGCATACACTTTACACTAATTACTTGGCAAACTCTATGGAGTGATAGCAAAATGCTAGTCGGTTTGTATTATGAGAGCATTTTCTTCTTTCCATGTTAAGCAATCATATGAATTTTTCCCCTCCAAAATATGAGGTTTTCCCCTCCAAAAGAAACAGAATGTCCACTCAAGAAACATCCAGTAAGAAAGAAGGTTAAGGGGAAAATAAGAATTTCCACGAATACCAAAAGTACACAAACAAGTCAGAATACATATAGAGTATTAGCTCTGAATGAAATTTAATTCAAAGTCTTGCGTATCTAGACAAAAGTAACATACACACACACACAAATAATTATTTTTTTAAAAAACAACATAATACACTAATTTATCTTCACACTGGAAATAAACTTTAAAAGAGCCAAACAGGTCACAAAAGAGGACTTCAGCATTTCACTTACAAAATATCTCTCTCATCTACAATCAACTTTCCTTGCCTTGCCAAAACTTCTCTTAAAATTCCCATTCTCCACTAGTAAAAATTCACATCGAGTCCCTAAAGCATTACACCTATTCTCGTAAAAAAAAAACTGTCAGCACAGCTTGAAATCACAGCATCAGATTTGAAGAGGGGAAAAAACAAGGGAGGGGAAAAACCCAAGTTCTCTTTTTTAAAGCCTTGGCAAAGAAAATGAAAAATAAAATAAACCCCTCTGCTCCTTCAGCACTGGATACACACCTAATGTTCTGTGTTGCGAGCAAGGAGGAAAGAAGACACTGGCACTTAAATCTTGAAGCATCCCGTCCCGATGAACCCAGAGAAACTATATTCTGCCATCAGAAAAGTACTTCCACCAGAACACCAAACAATTGTATGCACTGCTCTCAAGGAAAAGAGCAAGCCCAGTTCTGGCTGAATGCAGTCTCCAGAGGTACAATAATATAAACCTGATCAATTGCAATTAAAATCTGAACAGAGGCTTGGAACTTGAAGTCTTGGTGCATTAGTTCTTGCCAAAAGCAGATGTGATTGTGAGCTGGAAGCAATTTCTCCTGGTAATTTGTGATGACATTGGGTAGATCAGCCCCAGAGTCCCTAAAGACAAACTCATCAGAGGCTGTAATGTATGCATGACACATGAGGTGGCTCTTTTAGAGCTCAATTAATTGGGCTGAACATTAAGACAGCAAGTTCAGGACATTTTCCTCCCCCTCCCCTTTCCTCCCAGAATTATTCCCCCCTCCTTTTTTTCACTAAGACTCCCCCCCCCCCTTACCTTCGGCAAGCCATGTCTCCTGTAATTGGCTCAGATCTTGAAACAGTTCTGAGAAAGAAAGGAAGAGATGGATAAAAAACCCAGTACTTTCTTCATGCTGAAATAAGTGCTCTCTTTCTCTGCCCCCCACTCCCAAAAGGCAATACATTAATTCTATTTCATCTAATTTTGCACAGATCTTGCACACAATGCATTACTATTGAATTGTTGTGTTTATCCTTCCTTTGGATTTCAAAAGAAACAAATGACTGATTCTTTTCCTCTCTTTCTTCGAGCAATGAAAATCAGTACCATTTTCAGCGAATATGCATGCAGGATATCTGCTCTGACTGCAGTTTTGTGCACGCTAACTTGGAAGTAAGACCCACTGAAGTCAATGGGATTTCTAGGAAACATAACAGAATCAACTGCTCCCAAGACAAGTTCGCAGTAGAATCTGGGTATACTTAGAAGTAAACTCCATTCAGTTCGGCAGAGCTCACTCCCAAGTAATGTTCTGAAGTGTGCCGCCTATTTTTTTATCTGATGTTCATACAATCTGCTTCTCTCTTAATGCTCCTAAGTTCCCTAACAACAGCTATATTGCTTTTACCCCTATTTTTTGAAATGCACCACTGCAACATGGCAAAGTTCAATTCATTCACTCTGTTTTTTGACAATGCACATCAGTGACATAACAAAACAAGGGCTTATACTTTAAACTTCATGTGTTAAATATACTTCAGGAACATCAATATATCTTAATCAAGATGCACCCAGTCCATATGCCAAAATCTGAGCAGGATTTGCATTTTTGCAGTCAAAGTGATTTAAAGTAGTTGTTTCCAAGGCGTAAACAGTTTGCATCACATTATTTTAAAAGAATCGGTTAAAGTTGCTTTCCTAGAGCATTTATAAATCCTTATTCACTTACCTATCATGTTCTGCAAGCTGGTGCCTTATGGTTAGAAAGTTTTTCAGTGAACACCAAAATGGGGAGGTAAAGAGTACAAAATGCTTCAATAAAATATGGAATGCAGATGTCCAGAACACGCAGACCCAGTCTTATTTTTTAAAACACAGTTCTATGAACTCAGAAAATGTGAGCAAAGTCAGGCAGGTATGTAGGTACCTTTGCCCAACAATGGGCATTACTGGGACAATCCAGCAAAGGACTGCTACTTGTGAAAAACCACTCTGTCCACTGCAGTGACATCTGCAGGAGCCCCCATTGGCACAATGGGTTAAACCCTTGCGCTGGCAGGACTGCTGATTGAAAGGTAGGTAGTTCAAATCCAGGGAGCAGGGTGAGCTCCCATCTGTCAGCTCCAGCTTCTCATGCAGGGACATGAGAAAAGCCTCTCGCAGGATGGTAACACATCCGAGCATCCCCTGGGCAATGTCTCTCAGGGTGAGCTCCCATCTGTCAGCTCCAGCTTCTCATGCGGGGACATGAGAAAAGCCTCTTGCAGGATGGTAACACATCCAGGCATCCCCTGGGCAATGTCTCTCACACCAGAAGCAACTTGCAGTTTCTCAAGTTGCTCCTGACACTCACACAAAAATTGCAGGATTACTTCCCTCCCACATGGCACATTGAAAGGGGAACTAGAATAGCAGTGCTGTAACCTCAACACTTTAGCTCTATGCAACTTAGTGGGAAGATTAGGTTCTGGCATAAAGCTTTATGTATACCTAGCAAAGTGTACTTATTTTTCTCCTGCTGTTCTCAGTGCTACTATTACAACCAAAAGAATAGAAATGGAAAGGGTAACACACATGGGTCTCTTTGCCAATGCCAGGTGTGCTTTCTTGCCCTGTGTGGTTGAGGTGGCAAAGAGTCAATGAGAAAAGTTCCAGACCTTTCCAAAATAGAGGCAACTGGGCAAGGAAACTTTGTTGGGACAGAGGCTGCCAACTCCTGAAATGAAGGAGGCTGTGTGCACGGCTTTTCAAGATCTATCCCATTAAAGCCCAGCAAACTCTCACCTCAGGTGTGTACAACATTATTTATGTCCCTTCAGCGCAGCAGTACCTAACCCACAGAGGGTGAGTCATGGAAGGTACAGCAGCTTAGCGGTGAATTGATTTTGTCAACTTGTGTCACATCATTAAATGTGGTTTTTCTTGCCTCATTCCTATAAATAGATGCATGCAAGACTCGAGGTGGGAGGGAATGAAGGTACATAACACATGCACACCGGTATATTTATATACATATCCCAGGTTATAGTTGCATTAAGAGTGGCGAGTCAATACAACTTGCCTCCTGCCCTCCCCTTGCAACATATATCCTCACCTTCTGAGTCATGAGCCAGATCTCTCTTAATGAATTTTCTTTTCCTGACATTTGTTGGTCGCTCATTACAGTTTCTCCCACAGGGATTCTACAAATAGAAAAAAAAATGTTACTTTAAAAGAAAGGAAAAGGGGAGAGGTGAGGCCAGTATCTAGGAAAGTATAAGAAGAAAAGAGAAAGAAAAGAAAGCTTTGCTATTGACCCAAGTGGTAATTTTCATCTCCAGTTCCCAATAAGGCGATTATTATTCTCCAGGGGAATATTTATATCTCCAAACAAATCTCTTGTACACACCTTGGCTTTCCAGAGTGACACAGGATTAAGTCCTGGAAATATTTTTAGGTATTTCCAGTACTAACACCTACACAAAACTATTGAAAAAATAAATCAACCCATTTATTTAACCCAGCAGGCAGAACTTTATTTTCAAGGCTGATTTCTCAAACTGCTTTTCAAAGTCTTTTAAAAATGGGCGGGGGGGGGGGGGGGGAGAGAAATTTGCCCTCAGGATGGAAGGCAAAAGCAATCAGAAACTTTGAAAACAGGGGTTGTCTTCTACCCTGATAAGGAGAGAGCTTGTTTTGTTTTCCCTGGTCAGAGATTGTCTCTAAAACAAAAGAGAAGATTGGGTGGAATTCTACTTGTCAACAACCCCCCCCCCCGGCCTAGCACAAAAGTCCTCCCCCAAGAACACAAAAAAGCACCCCCTCTTTTTTTGCCCCCCCCCCCAAAATCACTTCAAAAACACACAACAACTTCGCAACTGATCACTCACATTGGTGACCATGTAAGGCACTTGCTGGTCATAAAATCCATCCATCCCGCAGGAATATTTTGTTTTGTTTTGTTTGTTTGGAAGGAAAATGGTTATGATTTTCTAGACATTGGGCTTAAAGCGAGAGTTCCTCCAGCTGTAGCCTCGGCGCTGCCTACAAGAGAGAAGAAGAAGAAGAAAAGGGGGGGAACACACAAGATGGCTTTTGAGAGAGATCGCCTCCCCCTCCCTTCCCGGCTTGGAAAAAAAAAACTCATGAATGAACCGCTTCGATTTGCATAGCTAATGATCCTCCAAGAGTCCCATTCATAAACACACACACACAGCCCTCCTTCTCTCCCTCGCCTTCCCTCCCGGGCTGCAAGCAAGAGCTGGAACACAGGCATCCCAGGGTGGGAAAGGACTCCAGGAACCAGGGATCCCATCGAAGGGGGCTTCTTTAGGGGGCAAGCCTTGGGAGAGGTGTCTCCTTTTAGGTGAAGGGGGAGAAGAAAGAGACGGAGATAAAAAAAGAAGGAGAAAAAGAAAGAGAGGGAGCTCTTTCCTCCTCCTTTCCTCCTCAACAACCACAACCATGGGATCTGAAGATGGGCAACAAAAGTTGTTGTAGAGGGGGGGGGGGTTGGGAAAGACCCACCTGAAGGTGCTGCAAAGATGATCGGGGGCGCGCACAGGCAGCAACAGCCCGGCGCGCAATGGCGCACCCGCGGAGGGGACCCACCAAAGTCCCTCCAAAGCTAACCCAAGCATGAATGGTTTCCCTGCCCGCTTCCCTCCCCCCTTCGGAAGGGAACAGAGCCCCTGGCAGGGCAGGATCCGGTGCTTTTGCGCGCCTCCTCCCCTCTTTTTCTGCCTCCTCCACCTCCTCCTCCTCCTCCCGGGCCCTCCAAGCCCAAGGCTGGATCTCCGCGTCCCATTGGCTCGCCGCGGCTTTCGCCGGATCAGATTTCGCCCTGTCAATCAGAGGCTGCTTTTCAAACACAGGCACACACAGGCAGAGATACACACCCGGGGAAAAAGGGAAAAGACGGATCCTGCCGGATTCTGCAAAGGGGATTCGAGGTGGCTTCCCCAGTTGGACCCCCGGCCGCCTTTCCCCCTAAGAGCGCCAGGAAAGCGCGCCCGTCCTTCGGCTTGGACGCACAAGGCGCTGCCACCTGGGGCGCCCGCGCCTGGATCTCTCTCTTCCCCCTGCCAGCAGCACGGCACCCTGTAAACAGGTTCAGAGCATCCTCCAGTGGGAAAAGTCCTCTTGCTTCCAAGAGCTTTCCAGCCCAAACCCATTCTGCCATATAGGGAGACACACCATCAAAAAGAGGGAGAAAACGTGGAAATAGTAACAGACTTTGTATTTCTAGGTGCAAAGATTACTGCAGACGCAGACTGCAGCCAGGAAATCAAGAGACACTTACTTCTTGGGAGGAGAGCAATGACCAATCTTGATAAAATAGTGAAGAGTAGAGACAGGCATGTGGGGGGGGGGGCTTGAGGGGCTTCAGGCCCCCCCCCGAAATTCTCATGGTGGTTCGCGAAAAAGGCCTTACTGGTGCATTATTTAAACTGTTATGTTTATTCATATCATGATCTGATCACCATACTCAATATATCCCATATGCATGGGGGTATTGGGGTAATGATACAAAAGGTTTGCTAGGCTAGACCCTCTTTCACTTAGACTCAGCCCCCCCCCCCGAAACTCAGCCCCCCCCGAAACCCCCCTGAAAAAATTCAGCCCCCCGAAACGAAATCCTGGCTACGGACCTGAGTAGAGAGACATCACACTGGCAATGAAGATCCATATAGTTGAAGCAATGGTATTCCCCATAGTCACCTACCGATGTGAGAGCTGGACCATAGGGAAGGCTGAGCAAAGGAAGATAGGTGCTTTTAAATTGTGGTGTTCGAGGAAAGTTCTGAAAGTGCCTTGGACCAGGAGAAGATCCAACCAGTCCATACTTCAGGAAATAAAGCCCGACTGCTCACTGGAGGGAAGGATATTAGAGGCAAAGATGAAGTATTTTGGCCACAGCATGAGAAGACAGGAAAGCATAGAGCAGACAATGATGCTGGGGAAAATGGAAGGATGAAGCAAAAGGGGCCGACCAAGGCAAAGATGAAGTATTTTGGCCGCATGATGAGAAGACAGGAAAGCTTAGAGCAGACAATGATGCTGGGGGAAATGGAAGGAAAAAGGAAGAGGGGCCAACCAAGGGCAAGATGGATGGATGGCATCTTTGAAGTGACTGGCTCCTAAGTACAGGGTGGGAGAACACCTAGTTCCAACACACAAGAGTTCTTTTCCCAACCCTGGACATTCCACAGATATATAAACCCATTTTTTCCTAGTTTCCAGCAGACCTCACAACCTCTAAGGATGCCTGCCACCTGGTGAAACAGGTGAAACGTCAGGAGAGAATGTTTATAGAACATAGCCATACAGCCCGAATAACCTATAACAACCTTATTATTATTATTATTATTATTATTATTATTATTATTATTATTATTATTATTAGAAATGCAACAAGATTAGTACACAGCAAACAAGATCACTTGTTTGGATCACACTTCCCAATTGTCTAGGACTGCGTAATGTATCGGTGAACAATGCATGCAGATCCCAGTAAGGTGGCCTTCTGCAGCTGACAGATGGTAATTTTGTCAGCACCTATTGTGTTTAAGTGCAGGCCAAGGTCTTTAGGCACTGCACCCAGTGTGCTGATCACCACTGGGACCACCTTGACTGACTTGTGCCAGAGTCTTGCAGTTCGATCTTCAAATCCTCAAATCATGTCAGCTTTTCAAGTTGTTTCTCTTCAATTCTGCTGTCACCTGGGATTGCAACATCGACAATCCATACTTTGTTTTTTTAACACAATTGTGAGGTCAGGAATATTGTGCTCCAAAACTCTGTCAGTCTGAATTTGGAAGTCCCAGAGTAGCTTGACATGTTCATTCCCTGTAACTTTTTCCAGCCTGTGATCCCACCACTTCTTTGTTGCAAGGAGATGGTATTTATGGCACAAGTTCCAATGAATCATCTGAGCAACGGTGTTATGCCTCTGCTTGTAGTCTGTCTGTGTGATCTTCTTGCAGCGGCTGAGGATGTGATCTATTGTTTCATCTGCTTCCTTGCAGAGACTTTGTAGTTCAATCTTTAAATCCTCATATCATGTCAGCTTTTCCAGTTGCTTTTCTTCAATCCTGCTGTCGCCTGGGATTGCAACATTGACAATCTGTACTTGGTTTTTTCACACATTTGTGAGGTCAGGAGTATTGTGCTCCAAAACTCTTCTTGTTGTTGCTGTATTGTTATGCTTAATAATCTTGGAGATAATAATTCAATTAAAGGCGAAGTATTTCTTACTAGGCATGACCTGCGCTTTCAAACAATGCCATCAAGCTAGCTAGAGAGAAGATATAGAGGGATCCCTCATGCCCAACAACTTTGTATTTGTGTGTCTGGGGAAACAGAGGATCTAATACATTAACTGTTACATTGCCCTTTGTATAATGACCCTCAAAACAATCTTCTGGGAGCCCATTTGTAAGAAAGGGCAGCATGACACCAGTCAGTAGTTATCTGTGACCTGTTAGCAGATCATTCCAAAAATATTACATTAAAGGTTGCCACATTTGCAGTTGCAGCCCAAAACACCTGAGCTAAATTAGTAAAGTCCACAGCGGAGGCTAGAAATGGAAATGGAGATATCTTGAGATGATACAAAACAGACGTTTGTTATTGTTATCATGTCACTGCTACTATAATTTTAAAGAGCCATTATATGGAATAAGTTTTAATATTTATATTGGAGAGTGCTTTTTGCACTTATTGGTTTGTACCTTTAAAGCTTGTATATTATGTGATGTCATGGCCTATGGCTGGTGCAATAAACAATTCATCCATTCATACTAGGCATGACAGACATGGAATTAGACAAAAACAAGGACAAATTGTTTAATTATTTTGTTACGGCTGCCAGAATAAACTATGCGAGAAATTGGAGATGTAAAGAAATCCCTACAATAGGACATTGGCTATTGTAAATAGCCAATATAATAAACATGGATAATTGACACACCTACTAACCAACAAGGCAGTGCAGAAAAAATTAATAATAATGGACAGGACACCCTTTAAAGAATTCTTGAAATGATGAAAAATGATGAAAACAAATTTGCCCCCCCCCCCTCAATGTGCCATCCTTTTAGATATTTAAACAAGGGTATCATGCCCCCTATCATGCCCCCATCAGCCTCCTTTTCTCAAAGCTTATTTCCAAGTTTGAGGATGTGGGGAAGGATTTCCCCATGGGGAAAGTAAATGTCTAACTCATGGGGCAGCTTTGGGTTTTCAGCAGTATGCAGGGGCAACCCTGTAGTGTATAGTAAACTAAGCAAGAGCACACACCAAACCTGTCTCTCTCTGCTTCTCTCTGCTTCTCTGCAAGCACCTATGCAGCTCAAGCCTGAAGAATGTAAGAGTATCCAAAAGTCCCAGGCTCAGCCAGCTCCCTAGGCATAGTCTGACCAATTGGCTTTGTGCATCTTATTTTACAGTTGACACACACACACTAACTAATTTCTTACATGCTCCAACAAACCCTACCTCTAGAAACTTAGAAATTTTAGGAATGTTTGGGCTTAACAACTTGCCACCAAGTTGGCACGTAGCCATTTGTAGGGACAGATGGGAAGAACACCCCTCCTTATTTTATAGAGAAATGTTGCAAATTGGATTAAAAGCAGACACTTGGTAGGTGGACTGGGGGCTATTTATTTAGTGAAGAGAATTCATGCAGAAGTTTTCCGATACTATGCTCAAAACATTAAAAACAACACCATAGAACATAAAACTTTGTGGAATGAAAATGCCAAATAGGCAGATGTGTTGATGCACTTAACTGGAGCCAAAATGTTAGATTTATATTTCAATAGCAAGAACAATATTTTTTTTTATTCACAGACACAGTTTTGCTCTGACCAAGACTTGAGTAGCAAGATAATTGGCACCAACTAGAGTTTGGCTCCATCCTTGACTTTTTAGACACAAAAACCTAAATTAATAATAAATGTAAAAAGAAATCACATTCAACAGGATCCATCAACACAAGTTGAATGAAAATATTTCAAAAGTATTCTGTGCTTCTGAATATCCTTTGCTGTGTTATTGCTGAGCTGTTGAATAGCCAGCCTCTTTTAGAAAGCCTCCTCTAAACTTAGCAATTTAAAACTTTGTAATGATTCACAAGCTTATTTTGTATGATAAAATTTGAATTTCCTAGCCACTGTCTATATTGAACTGTGAAGTTCAACAGTGTCTGTTATTTCTATTTTGGACTGGTCATCAGTATAGATAATGACAAGACATCTTATGAAATATAAGAACAATTAGCACTGATTGAATATCCCTCATTCTCAACCTTCCTAATGGCACGAGCCCTTAATACAGTTCCTCATATTGTGGTGACCCCAACCAGAAAATTATTTTTGTTGCTACTTCACAATTGTAATTTTGCTACTGTTACGGATTATAATGTAAATATCTGATATGCAGGATGTATTTACATTCATTGGACCAAATTTGGCACAAATATCTGATACGCC